AGAAGGCTGTGTGTGTGGAAATGAGAAGACGCGCGCGCGCGCGCGCGAGAGAGAGAGAGAGAGAGAGAGAGAGAGAGAGAGAGGGAGGCGTGTCGATATGTGTTGAATGGGACGATTTCAGGGAACGAAAGCAGTGGCAATCAGGAAAACAATCAAGGAACCAACAGAAGAACCTATCATTGCAGTTTTGTTAGTACTCCCATTCGGTTCTGTTAATATTCCAAGAGAGTCCAGTAATTTATGACTTAACCAGTCAGCGAACGTCGCACCGAACTAACAACCAAATAATCGATGCGGTGACCAAACAAAGAAACTATTATATTATTAAAAAAAAGAAGAAGAAGAAACAATCATACGGTAAACCAATCTAATAGAGGAGCAACTGCACCCACTACCTTCTTCACTAGAATACAACGTACGGTCATTATCGCTGTATCTAGACTGAAAGATACCCTAACTACAGCTACAATGAGCCAAGCCAGTAAGGTAAAAGCTAGTAACCAATTTAGCAGCAGTTTTAACCTGAAGGGTGCACCTAAATACAGCTATAATGAAGGATGGCGGGCTTAATTGGCTGAAAGGGTACGTTGTATTCGGGTGAAGAAGGGTAGCCAAGCCAGAAGGTTGGCGGGCTTAATTGGCTGAAAGGGTACGTTGTATTCGGGTGAAGAAGGGTAGCCAAGCCAGAAGGTTGGCGGGCTTAATTGGCTGAAAGGTTGCCACTCAAATGCGTGTGTAAGCGTTGCTGAACTAGATCGCAAATTTAAATTCAAATGCGGGTGGATACGATAACACGAGTGGCAATGAACCGTTTTCTGTTTGTGCTTTTTATTTTTTGAAAATACGAGTTAGCAATCTGGAAGGTTGATTGGCCACGTGTTTAACAAATAATTCACTCAGATTCACTGAACCAATCATCGAGCCAGCCAAGCGAGCGTCCAATGAAGCGATCGACAGAAAAGAGCAACCAGTGAAGCAATCAAGAAAGTAATCATCATGCAATCAAACGTGCAAGCAATCGAGAAAGCAAACAGTGAAAGAAAGAATGAATGAATGAATGAATGAATCAAGCAATCGAGCAAGCAAGCGATCGAGAAAGGAAGCAATCAAACAATCAAGCACGCAATCAAGGCAAGCGACCAATCAAGCAAGCAACCAATCAAGCAATCAACCAATCAAGCAAGCATCCAATCCAGCCGGCAACCAATCAAGCACGTGATCAAGAAAAGCAATCAAGCACGCAATCAAGCAACCCGTCGATATGCAAAAATAAAGTAGTTTTTAATTCAAGGACTGAATTAACACAGATATAGCGAAGTGGCAATAATCGCGTTTTTTTTTTTTTAAATTCATTAAATGGAGGCTACGCTGTAAAAGGTCATAGTCTTCGCAAGAAATTAAGCAAGGGGAGTTAAAGCCGAAAAGTTTTTCATAGTCAATTGAGAATCTACGTACGCAATCTTAAAAAAAAGGAATCCGAAAATTCTTTGCAAGGAATTAAGCAAGGGGAATTTAAGTGAGCAATCAAACAAGCAATCAAGCAATCGGGCAAAGCAATTGAGCGAGCAGTGAAGTAACTAGTCTGTGACTAATTGGAAACGGATCAGGCAATCAATCAAGCAACAAGTGTCGTTTAATCAAGCGGTTATCAGATCTAAGAATGGTCCGGCTGGAATCAGGGCTCAGTTCTGTTGAGCGCCGCCGCTATGTGCGGGTTGCTGGTTCCAAGAAACAATGCTGATCTGGTGGTGGCAGTGTGTTTTGATTGGTCGATTGATAGTTTGGTTGGTAATTTCGTTGATTGAAAGTTCTCATTAATAGTAAATAAAAGTGTGATTGTTTGATTTATCGGTCGAGGTATTGATTGGCAGTTTCGATGGGTTGATAGTCCGACAGTTCGATTGAGTGATCGGTGCATTGGTTGATCGATCGATTGATTGATTGATTGATTGATTGATTGATTGATTGAGAGTTAAACAGTTGGATTGACTTGTCGTTCAATTGATTGATTTGATTGATTAATTGATTGATTGATTGATGATTGATTGATTGATTGATTGATGATTGATTGATTGATTACGGTACTGTAATGGTGATAGTTCGATTGATAGGTTTTGCTGTTGTTGTTGTTGTTGTTGTTGTTGTTGTTGTTGTTGTGTGGGTGGGTGGTTGTTGACATCTCGAACTGCCCCCTGATGAGGTCGCTAACTGGCGGCGACCGAAACTAGTAGGGGACGCCAGCAACCTTTGTCTTCTGAGCGTCACTCGTATCTTGTGGTGAGGACGGAGGAGCCATAGCCAAAGCTATGGAGCCTGAGCTTAATGTTTTTCTTGTTTTTGAAATTTCGAGATCACCTTTTGCATGGTTGCCGCTTTTGTCGTGGCTACATGGTGAGCGTATGTATGGTCGGTTCTGACTGATCCTCCTGTTTCTATCATCGTTGTGGATTTATCAGTATCGTGCGGAAGTTTTTCTCTGTGGCGCTTGCGAACCCATTTCATCGTTCGTCTGTGTTTGCTATTTCTTGTAATTGTGTAGGATTGGCATGAAGAGGGGGCACGAGAGGAAGCAGCAGAAGCGGCGGGGGAGCAGGAGGAGAGAGTGGTCATGGGGAGGAGCCACCAACGAGATGATTGCAAGGATGGAGGGAGAGACAGCGGCCAAGAGGCACTGTCGGCGAGGTTATCTGGGCACAAGAGAAAAGCGGAGAAGGAGGAGGTGGGAAGCGGGGGGGGGGCTGGTCGGGACGAAGGGTGCCCCGAGAACGTGACTATGGGTGTGCCAGCCAAGGAGCAGGAGGAGAAGGAGGAGGAGGGTGATGGAGGTGGCAATGAGGAGGATGGGCGCCCTCAGCAGCGTGTAAAGATCAAGGAGGGGGGTGAGGGGAAATCACTCAACGATAAGGAGGGAGAGGGAGGGGATGGCCATAGACACAGACATAAACACAAGCACCACCATAGATCCAAGAAGCATAAGGTAGAAAGGGAGAAGGGTGAGGAACACAAGAGGGACAAGGGAGAGAAGGGAGAATACAAGAGCGAGAAAGGACGAGAGAAGGGAGGGGGAGGAGAGGGGGAGGGAAGGAGCGATAAGGAAAAGCGAGTGGAGCACCACAAGAAGGAGAGGGAAAGCGGCGATGGCGGCGGCAGTGAGAGAGAGAACAGAACCGAGAAGAAGTCCAAGCGAGGTGGAGAGCACAAAAGCGAGAAAGGGCCCGGGGGGGACCACAGGAAGGAGAGAGAGAGAGAAAGAGGGGGAGGGGAGGAACGAAAGAGAGAGAGGAAAAGAGAGCGGAGAAGTGGCAAGCGAGGAGAAAGAGAGGGTGACGTGGCGATGCCGGAGGCGACCACATATGTCGCCGTGGTCGGTCACACTGCTGCCGCGTCAGCGGCAGGAGGAGCTTCTGCTTCTGCTCTCCCCGCCTCGATGGCCAAGGCGGGAGCCGCTGAGAAAGGAAAGGTTGTACGGACGAAGGATGTGATTGCAGAGGAGAGAGAGGAGGGGCAAATTTCCGACGATGGCGATGACGGGCGTAGGCCCACGGCGGCGGGAGGAGGCGGCCGGGGTCTGAAGACGCCTAGGGTGCCAGAGTCGGAGCCTGAATCTGGAGAGATCAAGGATTCCGATCCCGATCCCGACTTGTCGGGTGTGGAGGGAGGAGGAAGGGGAGGAGGAGGAGGTAGAGGAAGAGGAGGAAAGGAAGGAAGAGAGAGAGCAGAAGAAGGAGAGGGCGGTGTTTGTGCTGCTGATCCTTCGGCGGCGGGAAGGAGGGTCGTCGTTGCCGCCAAAGGGCGCAGGGAGGACAAGAGAACGACGGCGAGTTTTGAAGAAGAGTCAGCGGTCTCGGTCGTTGACCGGACGAAGTTTTCGTTGTTGTCATCAGTAAGTAATCACGGGGAAGGCGGGGGGGGGGGTGACGGGGAGAACGGGGTGTCGGAGGAGCTTCTTCTGTCTGCGAAGCAGGGGGAAGGTCTGGCTATGGCCGTTTCGTCCGCGTCTAGAAGGATTGAAGCTCCAGCTATGGCGGCAAAAGGAGAGGTCTCGTCTTCTTCAGCCGGTGCTCGGCATCGAAAAAAGGTCAGTCGTTAAAGCAGAAAAGGGAGGGTTTTTTTTTTTTTTTTTTTTTTTTTTGCCTTTGCTTTGTTTTTGAGAGGTTTCTTCTTCTTCTTCTTCTTCTTCAGGCGGTGGTGGTCCCCACCAAAGAAAGGTGAGTCGTACCCACCCAATGCGGCTGAATGGTAAACACGTGTAATTGTTATTAGTAGTGAAGAGAGGCCGTGAGTTCGTATCCTGATGGGAATCAGATGGATGCGTACAATAAGGTGAGGGTCTATATAGCCCCTTTCAATATGACTGTATCGGGCCGGAGATGTAGCTTGTATACATCGGGAAAAGAAAGGGTACCGTCTTCCCCCGAACACAACGCACCCTCATGTTGACTGTATCGGGGCGGAGTTGTAGCTTGTATACATCAATTTTAGTGTGCGTTATGTTCGGGGGGGAAGACGGTAGTCATGCCAAAACGGCAGCTGTGTAGGTAGATAGTGGTGGTAATTTATTTAAACTTTAAACTTTAAAGTATCTAATTAAGAGTGAGTCTCTAATTTATTTAAACTTTAAAGTATCTCATTATTTGTTTGTTTGTTTTTTTGGGTAGTCTCTAATTAAGAGTGAGTCTTGTTGGCGGTTATGAGGGCATACACTCACACTAGGACTACAAAAAAAAAAATTTATGGACTCATTTGCGGTCAGTATAGTGCGATTACGGTCGGATACATTTGAGATTATACTAGTGTGAGTATGCTCCAAGTGAACTGGGAGTGCAGAAGATGACTCCTGTTTATATGTGTATATATGTATTCTCTGCGAATTGTTTTTGGACTGAACGTGAGCGTAATCGTGGCCATATTCATCCAGACGAGTCCGATTATACGAAGAATGCCCCAAGATGCGCTTTTTTTTATTTTTTATTTTTTTCTTTCCCGTTTCCAATGTGGCCCCGTGGACCGCGGATCAGATATTGGGCCTCGCAACACCACTGTCGAAACGAAAAAAAAAATGACCAGTGCATCTTCCTCAGAAAGTGGCAAAGGTGCAGCCGTTGCTCTGAATAGTAATGGATGCATCTTTCCTCATTCTGTGGAAGATGCACCTGTGCATTTTTTTCGGTCTCAGCAGTGGTGTGGCAAGGGCCATTGAACTGATCAGAACAGATACTACACTTGATCTTAGCTGAGGCGAGGGTCCAGTGCTCTTTCTGTTCTTGGTCCTTTTTTTCTTTCCTTGTTTAATTTTTCTAGTTTATTTTTAACAGGGCTTTATCGTTTCTTGGTGGTCCTTTCTATCGTTGGTACCTTTTTATCTTTTTTATTTTGTTGAGAGAAGAGGGCCCAGTACCCAAGGCTGAATTGCAATATAACTGGCTGTTTTTTTAATCAATGCTGCCAGTGCGACTTGGGCCCCGGGAACCGTGCTGTTCCACGTGTTGAAGACGTGCTGTTCCACGTGTTGAAGAAACTCGACGCTGCTAGTGGCACTTGGGCCCGGGGTGACACTGAGTGTGATTGAAATATGCATTCGGTTTGGTGCGACCATTTCTTCATGGTCCAAACGATTTTTATTTGTTTTTTGACTCCCTCCCCCCCCCCCCCCCCCCCCCCCCCCCCCCGATGCGGAGTAACCAACAGCCCTGATGTTTCCCTCGGTGGAGGCTTGAGCATGGATGTGGCTGCTGCGGGGTTCCCCGTAATGCTATAATGATTATAGCATTAAAAAAGGCCTGAGAGGCCATCGTGTCCAGATTCGACAGGTAATCATTGAATAGGTTGGGCTTAAAAGAAGCCGCCTTAAAAACCATATACATTCCTGATTTTTGTTTGGAATTTTTAGCCACCAGACATTGAAATTAGAAATTGCCAACGTAGGGGTACTCGCAATTTTGCACACCCCCTGCCCCCCCCCCCCCCCCCCCCCCCCGCTTCTTGTGTCCAGTAGGCCGAAGCTTTAGTGTCATTCGGTGTCCACCGGAAAGATACCAAATGTGGCTCTCGGGTGAACCGAGGGCATTGTGTCTGTTTCAAGCAACGCAGTCACATCCTGCCCAACGGCCCCGGTGACTCCAACAGAACAACTACGGTTGGATAGTAAGCAACTACCGGGGCCCGATTCATAGTACTTGCAAATTATTCCCTTCATTTTAATCACCGTGGATTTTCCCCATCCACGGCCAATACCTATTTTTCCTTTTCGATCCTTTCTTCATCTTGACAAACCAGGGTTGTGGTCTATCAAGGTGCGACAAGACACTCACCCAGGTTGCAGGACGGTGTCGCCACTCCTCGCGGTCCCACTGGCTTGGCCGGCCATTGTATAAGTCACCGGAGTCTGTCCGGCCAGCACAGCTTGCAATCTCGTGCTGTGCCCTCCAGTGCGCGACCACTTGCCACGCTCATAGCATACGCGAACCTGGGCGCGCACAGCCAACCGATCGCTTTCAGACCGAGTCTTTTTTCCTTGCTGATTTTGGCGAAGCGGTCCCGCCCGCCCTCCATTTTCCCGCGGTGTGCGAGCCTGCGGCCCACTACTCCCGCTCGCCTTTTGCAATCTGGCATCATCAGCGGACTTCCTTTTTCCTATTTTATCTGGACCAGTACAGCACAGTACCTCCTGAAAGAGTGGCCGTGCACGTGCCCGGATGTGCTGGTATGAACGGGCCTGCCGTGCATGGATACATGTCATTCGAAATGGACTGTTGCGTCGCGACACTGTAGCAATGTAGCAATGGCTACCGTGTGCACAACCACAATTTTTGGAAGTACTGGTGGTTAAACCACCACTACCTCTCGCAGGTGAACCAGCGGCGGTTTGAAGTTTAAAGTTTAAACCACCACTACCTCTCTCAGGCAATCTTTTGGGAAGAAGTTGTCGACGACCACATTCTTCGGGTAAACAGTGCGAGCGGACCAAAATCCAAAATGACAGGTGGCACCGGTCACACAAGGAAAGAAAGTGCGCTGCTGGCGTTTTTTATTTGTTGGCGCGCAGTGGACATTCGTGGCGGCGGAGAGGAGAGGCTCAGAGGTGGTGGTGGTTTAAACCACCAGAACACTGGGGCCTGGTGGCCTTCCACCACGCGCCAAGCTTTGGCGAACCGAGAGCGGGGGCACTTTCTTTTCTTTTTTGGCTGGTGCTGCTAGGCGTTGTGGTCTGGTAGCCCCGAATTTTCGCACGCTATGAAATGAAAGATTTTTCCGCAAGGCTGGGGCCGTGTACTGGCAGTTTTAACTCCCCTGCTTCAAACTGGCTTTATCTGCCCTGCGTCCTTCGTGGGCCTGGTTTCTGTGCCCCTTCCTTCCGTGTCCTCTTTGTTCCTTGTCTGCATCCCCTTCCCCCCCCCCTCCTCGTTACAAAAGTGTCATCGGTTTCTGCTTTTCCTTCCAATCTGTTCTTTATTCCTTGCTTGGGACTCACCTCCTGCCGTGTCTTTACCTTCCTTTACCTTCAGTCGTCATCTTCTTTATGTAAGTGGTTAATGGGGACCCCCACTTTTTAGCTCTCGGGTTAATGGGTCCAGAACTGAAATTAGGGTTTGGGGTTTCTTGACAAAATCTCTTGCTCTCTTTTTATTCCCCCCCCATCAGAGTCACCCTCCTTTTTTTTTTTTTTTTTTTTTTAAATCAGAGTCACCGTCTTGTTCCCACCCTCAGAGCGAACTCATGCGAGGATTTCCATGGAGACACCTGACCGGATTATGGCCCGTCCAGGAAGTATTTGCCTGCAATTACGTCCAGAAACCTGCCCGCCCTTTGTTGTCTTCTCATTTTCCACCGTTTGCATGTCCTCTTGCTTTTTCTCAACCGAATGTGAACGCAATGACTGTCAGACGCACATCTCACGAAGCCTTAGTGCAACGGGTCCGTCTTTCTTGCACATCTGGTTTTAGACGAAGGGGACTGCACTCGTCTCTGCCTGTCCTGTTGTAGACTACCTGCACTCAGCAGATCCAAGATGTGGGGACCACCGCCCAATGATCCGAAGGTCGCAGCTTGATGGAAGTCGGGATCGCTGGAAAGTGCAAACACTGGGGGCGACAAAGGGACCGCAGTAGTGATTGATGCCAGATTGATGCAAGACATCACTAAGTGCCGTCCTATGGACAACGCATAGTTTTTTTCTTGATAATTCACGTGGCATAGTTTTTTTCTTGATAATTCACGTGGTGCCCAGGTTGCAGCTGCCGATGAAAGCCTCTGCCTTGTACCTAAACGTACAGTCGATAACCAAGGGAGCCCCTTTGTGTGAGAACTGTATGCGAGAAAACTTCCACGTACGATTAGGGAAGGGCTCTCTGATGCCTACAAAGGCGTCAGCCCCGTCCTGCTTGTATTGAGCACTGAGTACACTTCTCCGTAAGTTTTAGAACCCAATCCATTTATGAAGTTCGGTCCCTCTCTCCGATTTACAAAGTTCGGTCCATCTCCCACACCTTTTGTGCCATGGAGATGGCCTTTAGCATTTCTTGTTCCTCCTTGAAGCACCAAGCATTACTTCTCTTTCACAGAAGCAAGCTCCTACTCCGGGGCAAGAAAAACGATGGCACTTCAAGTTCGCACAATGCCAGGCTTGGGACTACTCTGGCAGGGTCGTTGGAACACTGAGCACTCACCGCTTGTTTGCCACCATGCAGTCATCACCTTCACCCTCCTCTTCTATTTCGCTCAAGAACATACATGGGGGCCATGATGGGGCTACTTCGGCAGGATCTTCGGAGCACCGAGCATCGCTTCCCTGTCATCAAGCACTCACCGCATATGGCGAGGCCAAAAAAGCATGGTTTCCATCACAGTCAATGCCATGCTCAGGACTACTTTGGCAGCAACCTTGGAGCACTGCGCACTGCTTCTCTGTCACGGAACAATGGCCTCCGCAGGTGCAAGAAAAAGCATGACTACCGTTTCTCTGGTGTCAATGCCCATGCCTCGAACTGGTTTGAGTAAATAACCGTCTCAGCCGTATGTCACTCATCGTCTTGATATTCCCTTACAAGCTCCGCTTTTCTCCGTGGTTGAACTACCTGTTGTTACTCGTGATCGGTCCCTCCCCTGCGCTGACCGCTTTTTTGGGTCCCATCCAGCATGTTCGGGGCCAGGGTTTCATGGCTTGCTTGAACATCGCTTCGCTGATCAGAAAATTAAAGCCTGCACGATGAAACGGAAGGTGATTTGATTGCGATGATCACCCTCACTCTGACTATGGCGAAGAGTCTTTTGTAAATTCAGCAGGTCTCTGCACTGTCTGCTCCTGATGCACGCGCGCCTCCTGATTATGCAGAGAATCTTCCCCCAGATATCTGTGGCATGTTTGCTCCTTCACATGCCCCAAATGTCTCTTTTTTTTTGTTTTTGTTTGAACCCTTACACGGTGACCATCTGATTTTCGGACAGTTGTGCGTTTGAGCTTGATGTGGACTTGGCCTGGCAGTCCGGAATAGCCAGTAATCATAGGACGTAGGGTTTGCAGGTGGCACCCAGTTCATGTGGCTGATGGAAGGTACACCCATGTAGCTGTTGGTAAGCAGCTTATTAGTTCGAAGCCGGATGGGATCAGATGATTGAAATAATGGTATGGGCTACCCTTTCCTTTCTTTTAAAAGGGTTTCCAGTTGGTTTGATGCAGAGGTTTTGATGGGGTAAGGTCAGCTTGAGAGCACCTCGATCATCAAAGCGGCATCCGTGCATGCATGCCTTGTTCGTACACCTGGGCGCTTGCTGCCTTTCCTCTCTTGGTTAGTGATTCTAACTGCTGTGAACCAGGATGAAGTTGTTATAATGCGTGATTGTTAACTCAAATTGAAGTGTTTCCTTGCTCCCAAGAGTCGTCATGTGTCCGTCCAAGATTCTTCTGCATCGAGGGTTGTGTGCGTCCAATGGGAATGTAGTCGACAGAGAGGTCATGGCACACTTTTCTGAGAACAAGGGTACCGTGTGGCTTGCCAATGCTGCCCGTCGGACTGTTGAAAAAGCATTCGCATGTGGCTCCCCACAGTTGGAAAAGTTGGTCTCTTCAGAATCACTATGTAGAACGATGGGATGGCTTTCACAGCCATGCGTCTCTGTGACAGTTTTGACTTTTCAACTTTGACTCCTTTCGATGTCTGACTTTTCACTTTGACACAACTTTTGACTTTTCTCGTTGAATGAACGTTTGATTTTGACTTCGGCGTTTGAGCTTCTTTTTACTTCGATTGATTTTGGAATTTTGACTTTGATTGTGGCTTTTCGTCTTTATGTGTGACTCCAGTTTTGACTTTTTTTTTACCTCACCTTTTTTGCCATTGGCTTTGACCGGATTTTGATTTTGATTCTGGTCTTGCACTGCCAATTTGACCGTTGACTTTGAACTCTGGGCCGTTCAGTCTTCTTGTTCGGCAATGGCTGTTCACTGTGGAATGTGGTGTCAAGCGTCGGCATCGTCTGGGACTTCCACCGGTTTGGGGACTTAATGCAGATTGGCAAATGACTATTGATTTTGGGTGTGGGTTTGACTTTGACTGTAGCGTTTGTCCTCGATCTTTGGCTTTGACTTGTGGTTGTGTCTGTGAGAAGATGGTAGGATTCAATTGATTGCATTCTGTTGTTAGCCTATGAATGAAGAATAAATATTTTGTAGAGAAGCAAGCATTCAAAGCCCGTCTAGGATTCTGAAGTAATGATCGGTCAGCATGTACTGCTTTCTTGTCCTGTTTCTACGTTCTTGCTTTTTCTCGAATGTGTGTCTTTGTTTATGTCTCTGTCCGTCTGTTGTCCTCTTTCTTTCTGCGTGTGTGTGTCTGTTTCTGTCTGCTTGTGTCTGTTTCAGTCCAAATGGGTCTGGGGACACTTGTTTGCCTGTTCTTATGTGTCCGTGTGTCTTGCTGTTTGTTCATTCTCTATCCTTATGTCTGTCTCTGCCTCTGATGCCTCAGATAACAAACGGTTATTGCCTGACCTCGCAGGTACCCGATACCGATGTGAGAGAAAATGGCCATGAGATTTGTGGAAGCATGATGGATATTGCAAATGCGTATGGCTCGCCTGATGAGGGGGATGATGATGGCGTTAATGGCTCACCATCAAAGAATGAGAAGCAAGATGACAAGACTGTGAACCGTTCTCGATCGACCAAGGAACGGACGCGGGATAAGTCCAAAAGCAGTAGGAGCAAGTCTGTACATAGCAAAGCGAATGGGAGGGAGAAAGGGACTCACAGAAGTGGGAGGCACTCCAGCAGGGCAGCTAAGGGCAGCAGTGGCGAGAGAAAAGGAGCCGTGGGAACAGATAACCAGGACGACTCATCAGGAAAGGAAGGGGCAAAGGAGAAAGTAGGAGCAGCACAACACCAGCGTAGTTCCAAGGCGGGGCAAATATCGGATAAGGAGGAGATGGACCAATCTGAGGATGGATTGGATCGAAACGTTTCCAAAGAGGCAGAGCAGCCGAAGAAGCGGCAAGGAATGGGCGGACGGAGCTCACCAACTCTTTCAGGAAGAACTGGTGGGCGGGCGTCGCGATCCCCATCGGTGGACGGAAGGAGACCCTCAAAATCTCCTTCTCCGGGGAGAAGACGGCGCTCACAATCTGCCTCTCTTCGGGTGAGGCAGAAGAGGTCGAGGTCGACATCGACAGTCAGGCATAGGGGCTCAAAATCCCCTTCGGTCAAGCCATCAAGCAGGCAACATCAACGGTCAAAATCGCCGCCATCATCAAGGCATCAACGATCATCTCATTCACCATCACTCAGACGGCGTGGGGTGTCAAGGTCTCCGTCGATGAGACGGCATCGGTCGTCAAGGTCACCATCTGTAAGACGACATCGGTCATCAAGGTCAAGATCAGCATCGGTGAGGCACCAACGACACCGGTCACGGTCGGGATCCCCACTCTGGAGACACTCTCAGTCTCCCTCAACTGTGGTTCGACGACGATCTCAATCTCCCTCAGCTGCAGTTCGACGTCGATCACGATCCCCGTCAATTCGGAGACACCGGTCCAGGTCATTATCTCCTTCTGCAAGGAATCGGAGCGATAGGTCTAGATCTCAAGAGCGGGGGGAAAGAGAAGTGGAAAGGGGTTCAGAGGGTTACTGGCGGCAGTCTGCTTCAAGGGATTGGCGCGGGGGAAATGATGTAGGTTTCTCACGACATGACCGGAGCAGGGCGCGTTCCAGGTCCAGGGATGGAGACAGAGACTTGCCAAGGTATCCCGACCGCAGGGTAGGCTACTTCTATGGCTGGAATGGGGATTGGACCAGAGCTCGATGTGGTGGATGGGGCTATGACCGCTACTGGGACCGTAGGGCAGACCGTGGACAAGAAGGGAGTGTGGATGGTGCAGGCAGGGCGTACAGAGATCAGGGTTGGCGACCAAATGGTCATGGAAGGGGCTACGGGGATGATAGGAGGAGAGGGGAGGAGGATCCATCACGCTCTCGAGACCAGGAGAATGGCAATGCTGTGAAGTAAGTACCATTCATCTCGAGATGTTCCACATCACTAGAATCTTGTAAGAGCATGTTGTTGTTTCCATAGCCACCTCCGTTTTGAAGAATGTGTTCCAGAAGGTGGCCCTTTTTTTTTTTTTTTTTTTTGTTTGTGTGTGTGTGTGTGTGTGTGTGCGTGTGTGTGTAAGTGTGTGTGCATTTGTGTGTGTGGGGGGGGAGGACCCCTCCCTCACCAATCAATCAATCAATGTATATATATATATATATATATATATATATATATATATATATAATTCAAATTTTGTTTTCACCAACAACCTCCCTACCCAAAGTGTTTT